AGAAACTCCTTCAATCTATGCCGAGACGATGCCAGGCGGTGATTGATAATAATGGTTATGCTACAAAATATTAACACAAACATGGTTGGTTTTCTATAATTCAATGAACTTTGCTTCTTTTTTCTATAATTGTTTTGCTTTGTCTATATATTTTTGTCCTTCATAGTTCCAGTTTTTTTTCGATTAATTTTTTATTGAAGTTTAATGAATTTATCTATGTATAAGTGAGTATTATGCTATAACGAATTATACTTTGGGTCCAGTCCGAAGACATCACTTTGTTTATTCACTATGTAGTCCGCCCCTGGAGTACGATCCGCGCACCAAGTTGAAAGACGAGAATCCCCACCTCCTCGCCGCGCCCTGGCCACTCGCGTTGAATCATTCGCTTTTTGGTGCGCGATCCGTGCAGTCGCCCGGCCTGCTTCAGTTCAGAAAACGCGTGCGATTTCTCTTTTCGGTACATAGTGCTCAGTGAGTAGGTAGGTAAGTTCACAACAAGGCTATTCTTTTTGATACCACTTAGCAGTCTGTTACATAATTGATTGGCGTATTCAACCAGATTGAATACGTTAACCAATGGTTATACTTGTTTAACAGAAACCATGGAAAAATCAGGAATTTCGGAGGCCAATTCACCCAGCTCCTTGAGAGACATGATTCGGGCCATTTTACAGGAGGAGCTCGAGGCAAGGTCAGGTGGTTATCGTTCTCGCACTAATTCGAGAAGTTTATCCCGAAAGAGTCGACACAGCAGATCCATGTCTCGTACCAATTCACCTCATCATTTTAGACGCTCCCGCTCTCGCATCAGCCGTAGGCGTTCAAGGTCACGTTCTAGGAGTAGTAACAGTCGCAGTCGATCACCGAGCGTGTCGAGGCGACGTAGAGAGAGACGGGAATATTTGCGTCAAGAGAAAAACTCAGGCAGCCCATCTGATAAGGTACAGCGTCAGGTAGACTCGGCTGGCCGTTCTCCGTGCGAGGCGGAAGCTCAGATTCTGACAGGGCCGGACTTGGGAACGGTACCAACTGAGAAAAATGATATGGAGGATGTTTTGATGCTTAGTGAAGGTGAGTGTCTCCCATTATCGGAAGACATATTAAATATCCTGGGTGTAGATCCTAAAAAAGCCAATAGGTCTAACTTCCAACTACACGGTGCCTTAGCTTCTCGATGGTCCCACATTTTGGCCAACGGACTTTCCACCGAGGACACCACCATCATTAGAGAAAAACACATTGTGCCTTCTAACTGTGCCTCTTTACACCCTCCGAAGATAAACCCCGAAGTGAAAGCCATTCTCTCTTCTACTCATTTAACGAGAGATGCCACCCATTCCGGGTACCAATTGAACATTGGTACCGGACTGACCGCCATGGGGAAAGCTTTTAACGTCATTTTGGAAGAAGAAACCCAGATTCCCAAGGATATCAAGGAAAAGATTTTATCGAATTTGACAGATTCTGCGCGAATCTTGGCGGCACTCTTTCACGACATCTCTAAAACTAGAAAGTACCTGATCAGCCCAGTACTCAACAAATCAGTTAAAGAACTGACTGAAAACACCTTACCAGGGGAGTTCTTATTCGGGCCAGATTTAGGTGAGCGGGCGAAAAATTTGAAATCTTTGGAGAAGGCCGGACAGGACCTACGTTTGTCCTCTATCCCCTCACGCAGTAGCTCTCAAGTGACTCGGTCTTTCAGTAATCCTGAAAGAAGAGGGGGGGGAGGCAACTCGTCAAAGAATGTAGGCGCTTTAAACAGGTATCGCCCGTCTTACCGCAAGAGGGAGGTGAGGCAGCACAAGGGCAATTCCTCAAGACAGTTTGCTCCGAACAGACAACAGCAGTCCAGAAAACGTTGAAGGTAAAACAAGTTCTATTTGCTGGTCGGCTACAATTTTACCTCAACTCTTGGTCAAAACTAACTTCAAATCCGATAGTCTTATCCTGGATTCAAGGTTACCGGATTCCCTTTAAATGCACACCTCCATTACGTCAACCTTTGGGCACAAATAATTTTTCTTCGACAGAAACATCGCTAGTTCGAGTAGCTATACGCGACTTGCAGAAGTCCGGGGCCATAATCAAATCTGAGTCAAGGCCCGATCAATTTATCTCTCCATATTTTCTTGCAGATAAATCCAACGGGGGAAAAAAGATTTATATTAAACCTGAAACAGTTAAATGAATATGTGGAATGCCCGCATTTCAAAATGGAGGACCTTCGTACGGCTATAAAATTGACTCATAAAAACGTGTACATGTGCACAATCGACTTGAGAGATGCGTATTTTTTAGTACCTGTCCACAGCGACCATCAACAATTTCTAAAATTCTACTTTGATGGCCAATTGTATCAATTCACTTGCCTACCGTTTGGGTTATGTACAGCTCCGTTATGTTTCACAAAGCTTATGAAGCCAGTCGTCTCTTTTCTCCGCAATTTAGGCATCTCTACAGTCAATTATTTAGACGATTTTCTAATCTTTGGAGTTTCCTATGAATCCTGCCTTAATAATGTTAGCACAACCATTCGGTTTTTAAGCTCATTGGGTCTTATCATCAATAACAGCAAAAGCATTCTGGTACCCACTACTCGTATAAGATTCCTCGGCTTTCTGATAGATAGTGTTAATTTAACAATTGAACTTCCTGCCGAAAAGAAAAATCACATCCTCAGGTTAGCCTCATATTATTTGAACCAATCGAGATGTAGAATTCGCGACTGGGCAAGGTTCATTGGCACCTTGGTGTCGGCTTGTCCTGGTGTGAAATACGGGTTTCTTTATTGCAAATCTCTAGAAAGGGAAAAATTCTTAGCTTTAGAGAAAAACAATGGAAATTATAACGCAAGTATGGCTATTCCTGAAAACATAAAGAGCGATATTTCATGGTGGAAAGATCACATTTCAACAGCTTTCAATGACATAAGGTATGATTCCTTTCATATCACCATCTTTACCGACGCATCGCTAACAGGATGGGGGGCTTGCTCTGGCCAGGATAGAACCCACGGTTTCTGGTCCAACTCCCAAAAACTATTGCATATAAATAATTTGGAATTATGGGCTATATTTTACGGCATCCAGTGTTATGCAAAACTTTTAAAAAAATTGCAATATCCTAATTCGATGCGACAATACAACAGCCGTTTCTTACATTAACAGAATGGGGAGTGTTCGGTTTCCAGAGCTATGTTCTCTGGCTAAACAAATTTGGCAATGGTGTGAGGAAAGAAATCTCTGGTTTTTTGCATCATACATCCCATCTAAAGATAACGCTATAGCAGACGATGAGTCCAGGAGCTTGAATTTTGAAACGGAATGGTCATTATCTCAAACTGCCTTCGACCATTTAACCGACATCTTCGGAAAACCAGAGATCGATCTTTTTGCCTCTCATACCAATGCGAAATGCGAGGTATACGCTTCCTGGCATAGAGATCCAGGATCTACATATATCGATGCGTTTACAATTCGCTGGAACAGTTTTTATTTTTATGCATTCCCCCCTTTTACCTTAATTCTCCGAGTTTTACAAAAAATAATTCAGGATAAGGCTGTCGGAATTTTGGTGGTTCCTTGGTGGCCTTCACAACCTTGGTACCCACTTTTCCGTCAGTTATTGATCGACCAAGAAATTCATTTTCCCCCTTCACCTGATTTACTATCTTGTGCGGTTTCCAGGTCACATCCGCTGTCGAAAACCCTTACCCTGGTAGCAGCGAAGTTATCAGGCAAGCGTTTTTGAGTAGAGAGGTGCCGGAATCTGCTATTTCTACAATCATCGCCTCAGTCTCCAGATCCACATTGCAGCAATATAACAGCTCCTACAAATTGTGGTGGGAATTTTGCTTTAGTAATGACATTTCGATCTTTAAACCCACAATCAAAGACGTGGTGTCATTCTTGCAAGAGTTGACAAAGAAGAAAAACCTCACGTCTGGCACTTTTAATTCTCATACATCTGCTCTTTCACTAATTTGCTCAACTGATTTAGCATCCAATCCTATAATTAGACGCTTCAAAAAAGGCATTCATCGTTTACGGCCTTCTCGGCCAAAATATTCGGCCACCTGGGATCCTATACCTCTCCTAAGTTATCTAGAAAAGTTACCATCTCCACTTAGCCTCCAAAGTCTGTCACAAAAATTGACAACGTTATTAGCTCTAATAACAGGAGAAAGACTCCAGACAATTTCTCTTATTCGTCTTTCACATACCTCCCATGGTCCCAGCGAAACTACCATCAATATTTCAGACCCAATTAAAACCAGTCGAATTGGGAAACCTCAACCAACCTTGCATATACCGGTTTTTCAACAAAACCCTTTCCTGTGCGTAGCCACCATCCTGAAGGAATATATTGACAGAACAGCTAGCTTGAGAGAACCCGACAACGATTTTCTATTCGTGACATATAAAAAACCACATACCAGGGCGTCCAAAGACACTTTAAGCAGATGGGTAAAACAGACTCTTGCATCGGCGGGTGTCAACACAACACTTTTTACGCCCCATTCAGTCAGGCATGCGGCTACCTCAACGGCGTTAAGAAAAGGCGTTTCCGTAGATAGTATATGGGTGGTTATCTGAATTTTGGTTAACTTCTGATGTAATTTTGAAGGTGGTGTTTTTAGTTAAAAATCAGAACAGCTTATATTCTATGCTGTAGGTATAACATCTACTTTCCTGCATCTAAAAGGGCCAGTCACTTTACTTGATATTTTCAGAGAAATTTATGATTTTTTAAGATCAGTGTTCTAGGGACTGACGACAAGTGATAGGGACTGACACCAAACACGGTTATTATGTCAAATCACATTTTTTATTGCAAAAGCAACCGTAACAACAAAATAATCTCTTAAGTTCACAAATTCTATGATTTATAATCACAGTACAGGATTTATTTTTTTAATTATACACTTGAAAATAATCTATCAATATTTCTCAACAATCAAATTATACTTTGAGTTTAATACTTACAAACTAATAGTCCTTTAAAAATTAACAATTATTTTAAATAATCAGCTTTCTAAAGTTTTGAGTTACCAAATTATAATTTGAACACAACATTTAGAATTTCATTAATTATTATGAGATCACAAATATTTCGCACTTAAACTATCTAGTACCTCTTATTTATTTGTTTCACTATTTGTTTTACTTCTCGTAAACATTAATGGATTTTTTAAATTTGTGAAGGACTGTATTTCTCTTGACGATTATATTAGGAACTGGCAGTTTTTCTATAACGTCTTTGTAAGGTACGTCGGCGATATCGTTATCATTTATTTTAAATTCTGTACCATCTTTATTGCAAACTTTAAGAAATGTAACTGTCAGTTCTCCATCTTCGTCATCATATTTTGAGCAAACTGCGGCGTATCGGTATTCTTTTCCCCTCATTATTAACTTAACTAGAACATAATCGCCACCGCCGTAGCTCGTTTTTGACTTTTCTTGTGCAATGTGGCTCATACTTGCTAACGGCATATCAGCTTCAGAATCTGTGAAAATATCTGAAACTTGAAGCCGCTGTGGTACGTAATAGTCCCCAACCTATAATGGTCACAACCGTCATTATCACAGAAGCAACTTAGTGACTTCAAGACAAGTTTATTAGGGTTATAAATATGACCCGAGACTTGATGCACCAAGAGAGTTCCTTTAAACGGTTTCTGCTCTTTCTCATGTTCCTTGATCGTTTTGTTAACTTTTTCTATGTCGACATCTTCGATAACAGAGATATTTATATTTGGACACCTTTCTCAAAGCACAGCTACAAAGTCGTACAAGTTCGTAATGTCACCTCTCTGAGCTATGAGTTGGTCTGCAGAGCGTTTGCATGTAGCTCCAATTCCATCAGGTGCCTCTTTCCCATGTTCCGCCTCATGGAAATTCCACGTATATTTTATATCCAGTGGATAGAAATCTTGGATTCTGCAACCCAAAATATAAAACATTGTTTTATTTCTATATTGGGTTACAAAGTTCTCGTTTGGATTTCGTAGCAAACGGACGTGCTGATAAGCGAATCGACGAGTACGAGTACGAGTACAAATAATATAATCATAATAATAAAAAAGTGTTCCATAACAAAAGCTGTAAAAACGTGAAACAAAATAAGTGTCGTTAGTTAGCAGTGCAAGAGCTGGTGGCACCGGTTATGCAGGTGGTCTAAAACATTTCATCAACAATGTCTCATAGCCAGGATGTGTCAGTAATAGAGCATAATCAAATACTAAGAATGTCATCAACAAGTGAAGAAGAATTAGAGGACTCACAACAAAATAGAAATAACCCGTGGCAAGTGATGAGAAGCGTTAAAAGGAGGAAAGTTGCCAAAGAGCAGAACAAAGAAACAACGGAAACTGTAACTGTAAACAACAGATTTGATATCCTAGCAGACAAAACAGATGATAATGTCGGAAATAACACTCAACGAATTCCAAAGCCACCCCCAATCTTTGTTCATGGAGTGATCAACTACGAGGAAATGGTCAACACCATTAGAGACATATTAGAAGACGAGCAATATATCACGAAGAGCCTCGCAAACAACGTTGTGAAAATAAACTGCGCAACCCCAGAATCATACCGTAAGCTCATCAGAAACTTCAAAGAAAATAGTATCTTTCACCATACCTACCAACTGAAAGAAGAGCGATCATACAGGGTAGTGATAAGGTATCTACATCACTCTACAAAAATCGATGATATAAAAGAGGAGCTGGGAAAACTGGGTCACAAAGTTCGCAGCATAATAAATGTTCTTCATAGGACTACCAAAGAACCACTAAACTTATTCTTTGTAGATCTTGAGCCAGCCGAAAATAATAAAGATATATATAACATCAGAGGATTACAGAATAAAACTATTCAAATAGAGCCACCCAGACCTAGAAAGAACAATATCATCCAGTGTATGAGATGCCAACAATTTGGACATACTAAAACATACTGCAACAAACCATACTTATGTGTGAAATGTGGTGGTCCCCATAATACTAAGGACTGCAAGAAGCCGAAAGATGCGCCAGCAAAATGTGCCCTTTGTGGTGGCAGTCATACTGCAAACTATAGAGGCTGCGAACACTACCACAGAACATTGAAAAATAAAAATCCCACCTTCCAAACACCCCTACCACCTATAACTAGTGAACCAGCTTATGTTAACAATGTTGAGCCCGCCACTAACCGCCAATACTCAAGAACGTATGCAGATGCAGTAGCCAACAACACTGAAAACTCGGTAAGTCTAACTTCAACAATGAATAAATTCCTAGATGAATTTAAAAATATGTTCAACCAGCTCCTACAACAAAACAGTCTGATCCTCAATATGATTGCCACGCTAATCAACAAAATCAATTAAAATGGCCAATTTTCTAAGAATTGCCCAGTGGAATGCCAATGGTCTTCCTAGTCATAAAGAAGAAGTTAAATTGTTTTTACAGCAAAACTATATAGACGTCCTACTAATCAGTGAAACACATTTCACTGAAAGAAGCTATTTTTCTATACCCGATTATATACTTTACAATACAAATCATCCCGATGGTACAGCACATGGAGGAGCTGCAGTACTTATTAAAAAAACAATCAAACACCACGAAATGCCTAAGTATGAAGAAAACCATATCCAGGCAGCATCTGTAAAAGTAAACAGTCTTCCTTACGATATAACAGTATCAGCTGTCTACTGTCCACCACGTCATAACCTCAAAAATGAGCAATTCAAAAATTTCTTTATAACTCTTGGTCCAAAATTCATTGTTGGGGGGGACTACAATAGCAAGCATACCACATGGGGCTCACGGCTCACAACAACAAAAGGAAGAGAACTGATACAAGTCATATTAGAAAACAACTACACGTTTATTTCACCAGAAGCACCTACTTATTGGCCTACAGATGTAAATAGACTTCCCGATCTTTTAGACTTCTTCATAACCAGTGGCATATCTTCATCTTATACAGAAATATCTTCAAGCTTTGACCTCACATCAGACCACAGCCCAATTACCCTAACTCTGAGCACAGCAGTGATATGTAAGAAACCTACTCCAAGATTGCATAATAACAAAACAAATTGGGATAGATACAAACAGATAATTGTAGATAACATCAATCTCTCAACCAGATTGAAGCAGCCAAATGATATAGAGGTCGACTGCAATAGCTTTATTTGTACACTCCAACAGGCAGCGAAAGAATCCACACCATTCATAGACTGTGCTTACAAAACAAAAAATATCCCCGTTGAAATAAAGAAGCTAGTTGCAGAGAAGAGAAGAGCACGATCAATCTGGCAACGTACCCGCACGCCAGCCAGCCGAACAAAGTACAACACCTGCTGTAATAAAGTCTAAACTCCAAGAAATGAGGAATGCCTCCGTAGAAGGCTACGTATCTCAACTCACGAGACAAGATAACTCCATATGGAAGCCCATAAAAGCTAAGAGAAAACCTCATTCTACATCACCCCCAATCCGTAGCCAAACAGTAGCTAATGGTCAATGGGCAAAAAGCGATAAAGAAAAAGCTGACGCATTTGCACAACACCTTGCCGAAGTGTTCATCCCACACAATGACGATCCAGTGCAGGAAGTAGATGAAGCCAATCTCATCCATCTTTTAACTCAAGAACGGTTAGCACCTTTCTCTCCGAAGGAATTACAAAATGAAATAAACAGGCTAAATATAAAAAAAGCTCCCGGAGCTGACATGATCACAGGCAAAATGTTACAAGAACTTCCCAAGAAAGGCTTGATGAAATTGCTTTATATATTTAATGCGATTATAAGGCTAGACTACTGGCCCATGTCCTTCAAGAGTGCGCTAATAATTATGGTACCGAAACCAGGAAAAAATCTAATGGATATTAGTTCTTATCGCCCGATCAGCCTCCTGCCAGTAATTTCTAAGCTTTTGGAAAGACTTATCCTGAATAGAATAAATGGCCAACTGGATCGGCTAGCTTGGATCCCTAATCATCAGTTTGGCTTTAGGCCGGCTCACTCAACTGTGCAGCAGTGTCACCGCCTTTCGGATATAATCGCCAAATCCTTCGAAAGAAAAGAATACTGTACGGCAGCCTTCCTAGATGTGAAGCAGGCATTTGATAAAGTGTGGCATCCAGGCTTGTTGCATAAAATAAAGAAAGTATTGCCAGCCAAGTACCTCAAGTTGCTACAATCCTACTTAAGTGACCGCTGCTACAAAGTTAAAGTAAACAGTGAGACTTCAAGCTACTACCCTATGAAATCAGGAGTCCCACAGGGCAGCATACTGGGTCCCTTACTATATGTCGTATATACAGCGGATATACCCACAACAACTGAAACAACAGTTGGCACATTTGCAGACGATACGGCGATTCTTGCAACTGATGAAGATCCCGACCACGCTTCAAGTAAACTACAGAGGCACCTAGACGATATAGGAAGTTGGCTGAACAAATGGAAGATCAAAGTCAACGAAACCAAATCCACACACATCACCTTCACTTTCCGCAAAGGACAATGCCCAGCTGTTTCCTTGAATCAAGTCACCATACCTCAACATGCAAGTGTTAAATACCTGGGATTGCACATGGACAACAAAATAAACTGGAAGCAACATTTATCCAAGAAAAGAAAACAGATCGACTTGAAAAGTAAAGAGTTAAATTGGCTGATAGGACGCAAATCAAAACTAAGCATAGAAAACAAGTTACTGATATACAAAGCCATCATCAAGCCCATTTGGACTTACGGGATCGAACTCTGGGGCTGCGCTAGCAAGTCAAACCTTTCAATCATTCAACGAGCTCAATCAAAAATCCTTAGAAGCATTGCAGATGCGCCTTGGTATGTCTCAAATGAAACGCTCCATAGGGATCTGAAAATCCCATTCATCAGAGAAGTCATCATGGAAAGAAGTTGCAAACACCATGCTAGGCTTAGCGACCATCCAAACCCACTGCTGCCATCGCTATTAGATCCCACTGAGACCAGGAGACTGAAAAGGAAATTGCCACTAGACTTGCAAGACTGAGGTGACATCGTTGGATGTCTGCTTCATCCCGTCATGAGGTACAACTACTTAAAAATTGTACCATCCAGCAAATTAGCTTATAGAATGTACATACACTCTGATCGCTAATAAAGTAGAGAAAAAAAAAAAAAAAAAAAAAAATATTGGGTTACAGGACCGTCACTCAAAAAATGCAGGTTTTCTACAGAGGATGGCAATCCTAAGAGGATAGGCTGTAAATGTGCCCAAATGACTCCAGCGTTGTGAGATAAATTTAAAGACACAGTGCAATGGGATGTTACTTTATCCTTTGTGTAAACCACCACTGTATGCAAAGAAATTTGAGTCCTGGAGCCGCCAAAATGATACGACTGAATTTCTTGGTTGCATTTAGTTGTGTAGTTTTCTGAGAAGTCCATGTGAATTACTGCATCCTTTTCTGTAAGTGACTCTTTCAAAGATTTAATAGTTTTATA